TATTGAAATTAAAGATTTAAACTGAAAGATATGGCATGTTCATAGACTGAAAGCTTTAATGTTAAGATGACAATATTCCAAAGTGATCAGTAGACCAACACGATTCCAGTTGAAGTCCCAGCTGACACTTCTGCAAAATGGGGAAGTTCTAACATTTACATGGAATTCAAAGACCTCAGAATATCCAACAATCTGGAAAGAGAAGAACAGATAAACAGATAAGAGGACTCACATGTTCTGGTTTCAAAACTAATTACAAAACTATAATAATCAAGATAGTGTGATACTAGCATAAGGATAACGAATAGATTGATGAAATAGAATAAAAGTCTAGAACTAAATGTTGACATTTTTAATCAGTTGGTGTTTTTTAGGAGAAGTTTTTGCTATAGGGCGTGTGCGCTCGCTAGAAAGACAGAGACAGTGAGACAGAAAGCGAGAAATCACCCCCCCCGCCCCAGGGGGGATGGCCACGCTGCAATCCCTTCTGTTTTCCTCTCAGGATCTTCAGCACGCATGCACACTCGCCCGGAGTGAGTTTAAGCCACTGGGTCCAGGATTCGAACCACGGTCGGCTACTTGAAAGTCCAGCGACATAGCCATTATGCTAACTGCTGGTCCCAATCACTTTTTAAAAAAGTGTTCTAAGATGATTCAATGGAGATAGAATTATCTTTCCAACAAAAGATATTGGAACAACTGTTTATCCACATGAGAAACAATAGTTGGATTCCTATATAACACCATACGCAAAAAATTCATAATGGAGAATGGACTTAACTGTAAGAGTTAAAGCTAGACAATTAGAAAAATATGAGAAAATATTACCTTAGGCTAGACCAAGCTTTTTAAATATGACAAAAAAGGGGAAAGTAGATTGGATGTTAACAAAATCAAAAACTTGTGTTTCAAAAGATACAAACAAGAAAGCTAAAAGACAACTAAAGTGGGAGAAAGTATTTGCCAATCATGTATCTGATAAAGAGTTTGTATGTAGAATTGTTTTTCAAGGTTTCTATAGGGTGTATGCACTTGCTGAAGGAGGTGGAGAGGGGAGAGAGTGAGAGAGAGATATATCACCTCCCAGACAGGATGACCATGTTGCAATCCCTTCTCCATTCTCCTCTTGGAATTTTGGGTATGCTCACACATGTACCTGGCATGTTCTTCAAGCTGCTGGCTCTGGGATTTGAACTGCTCAGTTGACTATGAGGGACCCAGACATCCCAGCCACCATGTCACCTGCTGGCCCTATCTAGAATATGTTTTAAAGTTCTAAACAACTCATTTTAAAAAGAAATGGATGAAGGATCTAAATAGACATTTTCCCCCAGAAGATACACAGATGTTCCATAATCACATTAAAAGATGCTCAACATTATTACTCATTAGAGCAGTGCAGATCATAACCACTGTAAAATACTACTTCATACGCACTAGCATGACTTTAATCAAAAGACAGTCAAAAGTGTTGGCAAAGATAAGGAGAAATTGGCATCCCTATTTATTAGAGAGGTTTTTGCTATAGGGCATGTGTGCTCGCCAGAAAAACAAAGAGACAGACAGAAAGCGAGACATCACCCCCCAGGGGGGATGGCCACGCCGCAATCCCTTCTCCATTCTCCTCTTGGGATCTTGGGCACGCACGCACACGCGCCTGGCGTGAGTTTAAGCCACCGGGTCTGGGACTCGAACCGCAGTCGACTACATGGGAGTCCATCGACATAGCCATTGTGCTAACTGCTGGTCTCCCCCATTAACTGTTCAACAAAAAATGGTTCAGGCCACTTTGGAAAACAGTTTGGTAGTTCCACAAATTGATAAACGTGAGTTACCATGTAACATAGCAAATCAACTCTTAGGTAATACATTGATGAGAAAGGAAACCATATGTCCACACAAAAATGTGTGGTTGAATGTTCATCATAGCATTCATTAATAGCCAATATTGGAAACAAATGCTCACCAACTAATGACTGAATAAGCAACATGAAGTATATCTGTACAAGATTATTTATCAGTAGAAAGGAATAAACAAATGTGTCCTAGAACATAGTTGACTTTTGAAACCATCGTGTTAAGTGAAAGAAGCCAGTCACAAAAGATCATGAGTTGTATGATTCTACTTATATGAAATGTCCTCAGTGGCAGTTACCGAGAGAGAGAGAGAGTAATTGGTGGTTGGCTAAGGCTGAGGGGGGAAATTGGGAGAATTTGTTTGTGATGGTTACAGGGTATGGGATTCCTTTTGGGGGTGATATAAATGTTCTAAAAGTGATTGTGGGTGCTAGCAGGTGATGTTATGTTGTTGGACTCCTACATTGTCAACTGCAATTTGAATCCCAGACCCGGTGGCTTAAACTCATGCTGGGCACATGTGTGCCCAAGATCCCTGGAGGAGCGTGGAGGAGGAGGGATTGTGTTGTGGCCATGCCCCCTGGGTGCTGGCGAATAGGGTGAATGAAGGATCAGTGCAGAGGGTAGAGACAGACACAAAAGCATGGGAAGAGGGAACACAAAAGCATGAAGTAGGAACCTCAAGGACTGAGAGCACAGACACTTTATTTTACAGACAGTTTAAACTATCTTAAGCAGGAAGTGGGGTGAATGTTCTTTCTCTACTATGTGAGGAACAGCAGTCTCTTAAAGGAAGATTAACTCTTGCAGGTCATTATGGTTATATGGGACAAACAATCCTTATGGTTCCTGGCAGGGACATTGCCTTTCCATTGGGTCTGTCTGGAGACTCATGATCCACCTAGATTTCCATGCTAATCTTGGTCCAGTGTTCCGGACTTCGTGCTCCCAAGACTGTCCCAACTGGTTGCTGTGCAATGTGTTTCCACATTCAATCTTTTTCTCTAGTTTACACCCTTATTTAATCATATGGTTCCCAGCATCTGGAGGGTCGTTTCTCACTTTCTGTCTCTCTGTTTCTCCAGCGAACTTGCATGCCCTATAGCAAAAATCTCTCTAAAGAAAAAAAGTAATTGTGATGATGATTGCACAACTTTGTGAATATACTAAACACCAGTGAATTTTATACTTTAAATGAGTGAATTTCATAGTGTGTGAATTGCATGTCTATAAAGCTATTTTTTTAAATAAAGCTATTTAAGTTTACCAGCCTGTCTAGAAAAATGTGTATCATTTGTCTTTTTAACTTAAGTTCAAGGCTTCTCTTTTCAAAGGTTTCACTAAGTAGCCATTTATTAATGTAATCATTCCCGTGCTCCAAATCTACATCTGTAATTTATCTTACTACTTCTGTTTGTTTAGTTGCCTCTCATACTCATTAGCCATTTTGTTGTAGTAGAGTATCGGTAATATCTATTACCTATGTGAGCCTAATCTTTTTTTTCCTTATTTTTGAGAGATTTTTGCTATAGGGCATGTGTGCTCACCAGAGAGACAGAGACAGACAGCGAGAAATCACCCCCCCCCTCCCCGGGATGGGACATGGCCATGCTGTAGTCCCTTCTCTTCCATTCTCCTCTTGGGATTTTGTGCCCAACGTTAGTTTTAAGCCACTGGGTCTGGGACTTGAATAGCTGTCCACTGCTTGAATTCCAGCGCCTTAACCACTACACCACCTGCGGGCCTCAACCTAATATTAATGCTATTATGACAAATAGCCTCTAGAAAAGCAAATGCTCATTGATTAATGACTTCTGTTTTTAAGGAACCTGTGAAGATGATTGCTATTCCTTTTATCCAGTGTAATTCAAATGTACAATGGCTGTAAAGTTGTGTTTTATGTGGTTTAGAAGACATCATTTTTGTTTTGGAAAGGAATATGCGTACAGTTTTTAAAGTGTTAACAGAAATATACTAATGTGTTGACTCTGTTGGTTTCAGTATCACTAACAACAAAAATATTTGTTGAGCATGTACTGTATATGAGTAACTGCTGAGCTCTAGTAAGATACATTGAAGTAGGAACCAGCAGATAGTGTAGTAGTTATGTCACATGGCCAACTGCGGTTCAAGGGATGATTTCTCATTTTCCTTCTCATTGTCTCTGTCTCTCCAGTGAGCACATGTACCCTAAGGCAAAAACCTCTTAAAAAAAAAAAGATACATTGAAATTTCAGAAATATACCTATTCTTAATAATTTTGTAATCTTGTTGGGAGAGGGAGATTTCAAAGACAAATATGAAAAGTTCAAGATTAGATGTGACTAAAAGCACTAAAATGAATTCTGGGGCTGTCTGGAAGATTGATAAGGGCCGAAGTATTCAGAAATTCTGTAGGAATTCCAGCGCCTTAACCACTACACCACCTGCGGGCCTCAACCTAATATTAATGCTATTATGACAAATAGCCTCTAGAAAAGCAAATGCTCATTGATTAATGACTTCTGTTTTTAAGGAACCTGTGAAGATGATTGCTATTCCTTTTATCCAGTGTAATTCAAATGTACAATGGCTGTAAAGTTGTGTTTTATGTGGTTTAGAAGACATCATTTTTGTTTTGGAAAGGAATATGCGTACAGTTTTTAAAGTGTTAACAGAAATATACTAATGTGTTGACTCTGTTGGTTTCAGTATCACTAACAACAAAAATATTTGTTGAGCATGTACTGTATATGAGTAACTGCTGAGCTCTAGTAAGATACATTGAAGTAGGAACCAGCAGATAGTGTAGTAGTTATGTCACATGGCCAACTGCGGTTCAAGGGATGATTTCTCATTTTCCTTCTCATTGTCTCTGTCTCTCCAGTGAGCACATGTACCCTAAGGCAAAAACCTCTTAAAAAAAAAAAGATACATTGAAATTTCAGAAATATACCTATTCTTAATAATTTTGTAATCTTGTTGGGAGAGGGAGATTTCAAAGACAAATATGAAAAGTTCAAGATTAGATGTGACTAAAAGCACTAAAATGAATTCTGGGGCTGTCTGGAAGATTGATAAGGGCCGAAGTATTCAGAAATTCTGTAGGGCAGAATGAGTCGTTCAGGTGGGCTTGTTTAAAAAAAATTATTCTTGTTTTTTAGGTACAAACCCAAAACATGAACACCGATATATATTACCAATGTTCAAAGCTGATTTGGCTAGAACTGGAATACAGTTGCCTACAACACGTTCTAGAAGAATTAGAAAACTCAAAGTAATGGATAACAGAAAAGAGCCTCCATTCTTCAATGAAGATAACCTGGGTTCATTTTACTACAAAATTCCTTTCTATGATACCATGGAGCTCCTCATTGAAACATTGACTGGAACATGTTTTGAGCTGAGAGTTTCACCCTTTGAAGCTGTTATTTCTGTGAAAGCAAAAATTCAGAGATTGGAAGGTACTAGTCTTTGATTTGTTCAAGATTATATAATAGTTTTTAAAGGTTTTATAATGGAGAAAATTTCAGACATAACAATATTAGAATAGGATAACGAACACCTATATTCCCTTCACTGAGCAGCATCAGCAATGATCAACTCGTAAACTGTCTTGTTGCTGTGTTCTCCCACTTCATTCTCCTCACACCAGATTCTTCTGAAGCAGATCCCTGGCATCATGTTAATGGTGTGAAATAATATTTTTAAAGTAGTTTTCAATAGGTTATGATGACATGCAAATTCTGCCATAACGATCTTAGTTACTTTTGATGGGATGTAGTATTTGTGTTTTCTTTTTGTGACCTTCCTTAAATTTTACACTTCTTTGCAGATCCTTTTTTAAATGTGCAGATTTTATGAGGAGAGTTTTTGTCTTCCATTTACAGATAATTATGAGTTCCCTTAGTATAGTAGGAATACTGCATAATATGTATACTTTTTTTGTTGTTTGTGTATTTGGGAAAAGAGCCATAAGTTATTTTGTGTTAAAATTAGTGTTTTTTTCTTTGTGCTTTGCAGATTTCTGAAGTGGTATTTGTCATGTACACTTGTTAAAATTCAGTTTTTACTAGAACATTTATTTTTTCCATGTAACACTAAAATGGATCTTTACTGATGGAGATAGCTAACAATTGCTTGTAATAGAAAGGTGGTACTTAGCCTTGCCCTCTACCTAGTTTAAGTTCAGGGTTGTAGAAGAATGAGGAGGGTTGGAATTTTTTTTTTTTTAATGAGGTTAAGGATTCTGGTATTTGAACTTCTGACCATTCGCTATTCTTTTTCTCCTGGGGAAGTTCTGTTGAAATTAGTAGCCAACAGAGTGCAGTCATCATATCATGAGCACATCGAGTAATACACAAAATGATTATAATCCCAAATGATTTGATGAGATCTGAAGTCAGAATAATTCATTTTGTCTTTGTTCTGCTTTTTTATTTATATGATGTTATGTATTTTTTGGAGCAGGAAGAGTATAAATTCTCTCACGTTCTAAATAATTTCTGTATTTTTCTCCTTCGTGCATTTTTAAAATTTATTTTTGTTATAGGATGAGTCTCTTTACTAGGAAGAGATAAAAACAGAGAGAGAGAGAGAGAGAAAACGAGAAAGTAAAAAATTACCTCCCGGGGGGTGGCCTTTCTTCTCCATTGTAATTTCTTCTCCATTCTCTCGGGATTTTGGGTACACATGCATACATGCCTAGCATGTTTTTTCAGGCCTCTGTGTGCAGGACTTGAACCATGAAGCTGGCCCACCTTCATGCATTTTAAATAATCTTTGTACAGCAAAACACTTTAGAGAGCATTCTGCTTCAGTCTTAACTTAGAAGCATAAATTTGGGCTTAGAGATTATTGGGAACTCATCCAATGGAAATATTTCTGAGGGGACTTCAGAAAGTTTCAGGAAAAAAAATAGAGTAAAATTTTATTTTGATGCAAAAATATGAAATCCATGCATAGTTACTTCATTTTACACATTTTTCATGAACTTTTTAAAGTCCTCCCTGTTCAAGTCAGAATCAGAGACAAGTTATAGATTTCTTGACACTTGTAGTAGACATTGTTTGGATAAAAGTGGTGGCTTTGTGATTATTAGACAGTTGAATCTCAGTTTAAACATTTACTGAAAACACACTGGGAAAATAAATAAGGTAATATGTAAAATGCCTACTGTGTTAGTCTGGTGAGGCTGACATGATAAAATACCATAGACTGGGGGACTTAAACAGCAGAAATGTACTTTCTTTGTCTGGAGACCAGAGATCCAAGGTCAGGGTGCCAGCAGGGTTAGATTCTAGTGAGGGCTGCTTTCCTGGCTTGCAGACTTCTCAATGTGTTTTCTCTGGGTCTTCGTGTGGTGGTGGGGGGATTACTGAGGAAGGTGGAGGTTAAAGGCGGTGGGGACAAACTCTCTGGTATCTCTTATAATCCAGTCACAAAGGATTGACCCTTCTGACCTAAACCTGATTATCTCCCTAAGGCTTCATCTCCTTATGCCATCATGTTGAGAGTTAGGGCTTCAGCATTTGAATTTTGGGTAAACTCAACTGAAGTTAACAGAACCTACCAATATAGGCATTTCCCTTCCACTCCCATTCCCTATCCTCACACCTCTTGCTCCTTCCTTTCCTTCTGTTCTCTAGACTTTCTAGTAACTGCAGGAGGTTTTAGGAGGGCAGATTTCATGAGAAACAAATTTTAATCCTTTCTTGGGTTATCTTTACTGCCACTTTGGAAGACATTTGGGGCTAGCATGGTGGGTGACACTCAAGTTAGAGGGATATGGAATAGGAAGGGCAGAGGTGACATTCTTCAGGTTAATTTTGCAGGAAAAATAGCCTGTTTTTTAGGCTTTTTCTTTTAGGCAACTTTTCATGAGTTGAGAACTAGAGCCTGGTGAGAGATAGGAGGGAGAGTGGAGAGGATTGTGGTGAAAGGGTTGATGGTGTGTGCTGGATTAGGAATGAAGAGAGGAGCAGTGTCTGTAAAGGTTTTTTTGTTTGTTTGTTTTTGTTGTTTTTGTTTTTTTCCCATCATGAGAAAGAAAGATACATAAGCATCCTTAACAAGGTCACGTAATGGGATCTGCTCCCAGCCTTCCCAGTCAGTCAGGATCACATGACACATGCATGCAACCTGTACTGTGGGTTCAGGTTGACCTAGGATTCAAACTGATCTTCCTTGTGGCTTCCAGCATCACAGAACTACTGCTGCCTCACCAACGCTGGGACTACAAGGGAACTTTATACTAGCCTTTTAAAATACTGAGTAAATTAACTCCTTTTTATCACAGTTGTCCCAGCTTAAAATGGGAATAATAGTACCTATCCCAAAGGGTTGTTCTCCAGATAAATCTGTTAATAAATATAAAGAACCTGTGTTCCTCTTTTTTTGTTTTGGTGAGGGCATGTATGCACATACATGAGAGAGAGAGAGAATTCCCCCCACTGTGGGAGCTGGTCACAGTGTAGCCATTTTTCTTCCAAATTTTTATCCATCAGAAGCCTGGGCACATGCATGCACACACAGTGTGTTTTTTAAGTCACTGAAGCTGGGACTTGAACCCTTGTTTACCATGCAGGATCTAGCTCCTCGGTGGAGCCCTTAATCACCACATCATGAGTCTTGCCTGTCTGTGTTCTTTATCAGGAAAAATACATGGTTTATGGAAATATTGCCATATTTTAAAATATATATATATATATTTTATGCACTTGGGAAGAGACCTAGATTACTTAATGATTTTCCAGACAAGGCAACTCCTTTGGAATTCATCATTGTCTAGAGCAGTGGTCTGCATAGGAGAGTACATAACCCTTCCCCTGCCACATGAAAAATAATGCACTGGAGTTTGGAAATAAATGTGTCAAGAAATGTAAAGGATTATCATCTGGTCCTTTGTTGTCAGAGAATGTGGATTCCCTGTGCTTTCTTTCTGGTCCTTCGCATTACTGCTGCCTAATAAAGGTTTTTCTTCTGTAAATAGGGTAGGATTATTTTTCTGGCCCCCTTCGAGTAGGTGGGACCATATTATTAGTTCAAGTCAATGAGCTATGAATAGAAATATTTCTAGGCATGGTGATTGATGCTTATTCAGGCTGGGTCCTTGAGTGGCCATAGTGAGCAGAGTCCTTGTGCTGAAATGCAGTGGATATGTAACATGAGTAGGAAATAAATTTTTAAGTCACTGACAGTTTTGCAGTAGTTTACCATTTATTTATTTATTCTAACCCAATATTACATAGGGATTGATTTTTTTTCCTTATGTGGATAATTGATTATCTATATACCAATTATTGAATTAATCTTATATTTTCTTACTAATGTAATTCCATACTCGTCCTATGTGACCTTTTTATAAATTTACAACTTAATTTGATCACCTGTCTCTACCCATGTCAATATTATACCACATTATTTACTGTAATGTAAGTTTTTTTTTTTTTTGTAATGTAAGTCTTGATAGGTTATTGTATTGGGTCACTGGAAAATTCATGACACATTTTTGTGTAGAAAAACATAGAAAAATACACCTTGACTTTTCCGACAACGCAGTATCTGTCTAACATGTTATTCAGAATTGTCTTCAATACTCAAAATTTTGTTAACTCTTAATGGTTTTATATAATTTTGTCTAAAATTATCTGAGACCTATAGTATTGGATTGTCAGAAAAGTCAGGACACATTTTTGCATAGAAAAACATAGACAAAAATACACCATGGCATTCCAACAACCCAGTCTGTGGGGACAAGTAGGAAATGTATTTTTATCTATTTATTTATTTATTTATTTATCGAGAGAAAAAGGTAGTTAATTAAGTAAAAGTGAAAGTACATTCTTGAACAGTAGGAGCAGGCCTGAGTGGACAGAGAGAGTTACTCAAAAGGCCCTGGCAGTGACATTCTGTGACATTCTGTGAGATTTATAACTTTCTATATTGTAAATATTGCTGCAATGAGCAGTTTTTTTTTCTTATACCAATATATATTTTTTCTTTTAAAAATATATTTATTTTACATTCATTCACTGAACATCATCACAGCATACAAAATGTGATCTCCCATCCAGAATACACTGTAAATTTTTTTATTAATTAATTAGTATATATATATTTTTTCAATTCATTTTCTTCCATACATTCAATCACATTATTATTTGTCTTACAAAGTGGATATTTCAACAGGTGAACATTACTCCCTAGTACATTTGATAAAACTACAAAATATCTTCAACAGATAACACTACGCCTCTTTGTGCCATTAATGCTTTGCCTCCCTGTCCCTCCTCAAAATGTCCTTCCTCAAACCCTCCTCTTTTACACACACTGTATCTGGTATTTACATCTATATACTGTGTTTTTATATCTCTTAGTCAATTAGTTTCAGTCATCGAGTGTGGACACTTGGTATATATTAAGTGGAGACATACAATGCCTCTCCTTCATAGCCTGGCATGCG